GCAGGGCTCTTGCAACAGTGGCCGGGCTTCAGCTTCGGGAACCCTGCGCTTCAGCTTTACACACCCGAATTAAGGTGAGCCTGATGGACTCTGGACTTCACAGTCCCCAGGGAACCATACTGAGTGCTGCTCCTTTTCCAGGGAGTTTTGCCGTCTTGAAGGCACATCGCAGAGGGGACGCCGGGACCTGGACAGGCACCCCTTCCACGCTCCCATTGCGGGGGTGACACAAATTGGTCCCATACATTTGCTCAACCCCACAAATTTGTAACATATTCAGCTACTTTGGAGAATAAAGAATGAACTGGGACATGTTGTGCAGGGTTACAATACACTGTGCCATCCTGGGCAGCCTTAAAACACGCAAGTTTTTTGTAAGAGTCAATTCTAAAAGGCACTTAAAAGCATTAAAAGAAAAAAAAAAAGCAGTGGCAGTAGCCATGCTGCCAGGTCTGTACCAGGGCAGGGCCGACAGGAGCCGTGTGCTGACTGGCTGACCGGTGCTCAGTGCCAGGCCCAAGGAGAGCTGGAGTGGCGGGTGGCAGGGACATATCGCTTTCCTGCCTCCCTGCCAGCGTCTCGGAGCATCACAGCCAGCCCAAAGGCTCCAGACTCGCTCCCCATTCAGTCTGGGTCCCTCACGTCCCTCAGGCAATTCTCCAAACCTTCAAGATCTTCTCTGTGCTTTAGAAAAAAGATGGCAAATAACTCTCTGTCAAGCGAAGAGGAGAATGTCAGTGTCGTGCGAGCAAAGCGAGAACGCCAGAGCACATCGAGATGTCAGTGAACACACGATTCGGGCCCCAGGGCAGCAGAGGCAAAGAATTTCTTCCTATGCTAAATAATGCTCAAAATACAGAGTTTCATAATTGCATTATTTGCATACTCTCCCAAGCAATACCTGAGCCTGGAATCTGCAAAACGTGGATGCTGGTCGATTCCAGAGAGCAGGGCAGTTCCGTCGTGCCCCTCCAGACAAGCCCAGGCTCATGAAGCAATTACTGCTGCTTTTTCTACCATGGAAATTCTGGGCTTCTCCCAGCAGAGAACGTAAACAGAGAATACTGCTGGAACCAAAGCCTGAGGTAGCGTTTTACATTTCCAATGTTTAACTTTTTCTTCTTTCTCCCACCATGTCATTAAGTGTTTACAAGGATGATTAATGACTGCGTCTGCCAATGTTAACGAACGGCATCTCTGCTCAGAGCCGCAATCCAGTGCCTGGCAAGCGCTGTGCAGAGACAAGGTTACTCCAACATCCTTGAGCCCCAGTGCCCCTGGAAGCTCTCTCATCCCAGATAACCTGGTCCCTGGACAGAAAGCAGCAGGATGCATCTCCTGTGGACAATGTATCTTGCTGCCCGAAGCCACTAGTGGGTAATGAGGCAGCCAAGACATCTTTACCACCTCCATCAGGGACACAGGAGCTCAGCTGGGGCACCAGAGGCCACTGGCTCAGTGCTTTGGGAGCCTGGGCCCACTGCCCATGGAAGGGAGCAGAGACCCAGCCCCTGAAACCCTCGCTCGAGGTGCACTGCCAGCACACTGAGCCGGAAGCCTTTGCTCCATCCGTGCACTGACACCAAACTGGATCTGCATTACACAGACCCTGAAGTGGTTCACAATGAACAACAACTGAACCCCGAGAGCGAGGAACTCCCTCACATGCACAGAGCGCTGCCAAACTTTCTAGCAATTAACTGATTTGTCCTAATGTGAGAAACTGTATGAAAACCTCTCTATCCTCTCCCAGAGCCAGAAAAATAAGCACAACACACCTTCACAGGCATCTCTAAAATTTAAATCTGTAATTAATTGCTTGGCTAAACTTATGATTTTCTATCTCTGGTAAAAAAAATTGAATTACAAGGAACACTTCCTTCAGTAGAAAATACAAAACTGCTATAAACTTGATTTAAGACAAGATGACATCTTGGTATGTAAATGTATTTCCATCAAACATTTCAGTTCCAAATGCATGCTCTGATGGAAAGCAAACACCTCGATAACATGTTTGAAGCATTTTTAAGTGCTCCATTTCTCTTGCTGCTCAGCACGTGATTTTACTACCTGTAAAATCAACCACAACCCATCCAGCTCTCAGAGGATACAGTTTCTCCGTCCCAGCTATCCAATCCAGAGCAACATCTGACCCTTATCCTCAAGCTGCAGATGAAAGCGCTCAGAAAAAGTTATTTGCAGTGTTCCCATGGTGATGCCCTGGCAGAGGAACGAACGAACCCCATCTGCTCTCTGACCTCTGTGCTGGCAGCATCACAGGGCTGATGGAGCCCAGGCCCAGTGACAGCACGTGCCCACCCCACCTCCCCAGCGGCTGAACACGCGTGTGCTCCCTTCAGGGCCCCACAGAGGCAGGCAAAGCTGTGTTTGAGCTTCCTTGTAGCATCCCCATGCAAAGGGGCTCAAAAAGCAATGCTTAAGGATTTTGGAAAGGAGCCGGGTCATGGCAGGGTTGGGGGTTTGGCCCCCACCTTCCCTCAGGATGCATATCACACCACCCCACCCCACACCCCCCGCTGCGCTCACACCTCACAGCCCACGGACACCCACGACTGCTGAAACACACACAGTTTAAGGGAGGACAGCATTGTCACACACATGTTCAGACGTGTAAGTTATTTAAGCATTTCATTTACTTTCCATCTTTTACTAAACCTCCCTGCCAGGGAGACACCTCACACACAGAACCAGGTATTCCGAAATTAGTGCAAAGATTCTGAAGCACCACCGTATAAAATACATCTTTTTCTTCTCTACTTTAGAACTTGTGCCTTCACCAGCACAGGCAGAACACCTGTGTATCAGGTGAAAAAAATGTATCCCCTTAGGGATGCCTTGGCAATGTAGTCCAACATTATTATTCAATTATACCCTAAGAAAAATTCAAGCTTTATAACAGCGAACAGAATTAAGCTTTCAGATTGGGGGTGGGGAGGCAATAAAATCTGGCAGCTCAGATCCTTCCTTCCCCATAATTAACACACATTTCCAAGACTTCACCTAGGCATAAGACTGCCTTTTTCTTTTTTTCCCCTCTGAACTAACGAGGCCAAAATTCTCTGACCACAAGAAAAGCTCTCCCATTTAAACAATTCAGTAGGGAAACTGCACCGGCCACACCACACAGGCTGGCAGTGTCAGCACCAGCCATAACCCACCACAGACCCGGCCTCCACCTCCTTGTGGAGGGGCAGCCACAGTAACAGATTTGGGAGAAGATACAAAGGAGAGTGACAAAAAGACAGAAGCAGGCTGGGTCTAGCATTCAAAAAGACAGAAGCAGGCTGGGTCTGGCTTTTAACCTCCCAGTTGATGACCTGTGACTATTAGCAAATAATCCTTCCAGAATTACAGCATGAGACCAGCCCACCCCAGCAGCATTTGGGGAGCCCCGGCAGAGCTCCACGCTCCCCGGAACACTAACATGGCTCTGCTCAGGAAGACCACGCTCCCAAATTCAGCTCCCAGCCTAACATACCACACCGAGCAGAGCTTTCCTGTTTGCACCCTGTCCTGCTCATGAATCATAACAGTTTTCAGCTGTATAATGAACTTTGCCACACCCCGTGCCCAGGGAAGCTCCACACACCAACCCTGCCCAAGGCTCTGCCCTGGAACAGCAGCACTACCAGAGAACGTGACTAAAACCCAAGCAGCTGTTTCCAATAGCAAGGAAGAGCATCATTCTGTCACAAACCTATGAAGATCTTGTTTTCCCAACTGTCCTTGACCAAACATCATTTGTCAGAGCCACTGGAATTGCCACTGCTCAATACCCTGCCCCTGTTAGTACAAACTCTATGGCAGAATGAACCAAAACCCACGTTTTGTACAATTTACATTTCAATGCAAATGACCCAAACCAAAAACATCTACACAAAAGCCAAGGCCAGCAACTCCCCCAAAGCTGATTCATTCTCTCGCCGTACTTGGTATATTAAAAATAGATACCTGACTGTAACTTCCAGACAGCAGAAGGAAGGGGGTTTAGAACTCCAATTTTGAAAAATACACACAGGAACTTCTCTGTGATTGATTCTACGCTCAGCAAACATACACAGAGTGAGCTGTGTTTGATCCTGTGCTCAGCTGCCACTTGCAGGTGTTAAACTCATGAGCACAGGTTCTGTTAACAAGTTGCTACAAATGGGGGATCAGAGGGACAGGACCAGTCAGCTCTCAACAAGCAGAATTAACTGGAGTTTTACAGTCATTTCTCCAAGTGGATCGCCTCTATTATTAAGTGATTCCTACAAATAAGGCAAATCTACAGTAAGACAAAGCTGCTGAAAACTAAAACTACACTGTGCACACTGCCGTGGGACATCCAGCCTTGCTGCCCAGCAGGAATAAAGCCTAGGGATCATAGAGCTATCTGGGTAATTCTTTAACTTCACCTTGGCCCACAGATACCCAAATTTCAAATACTTCTGTTTCATTTAAATTACCCCAACCATGATGCATTAACAGAAGACCTGTGAATGAACACACTCAGGGTAACTGGATTCCAGTATAAAATGCCAAGTTCTGTGTGTCTTGTTCTTAACAAGATTCCTCAGACACAGGTAAGCTGGTTATTTCCCTGGCCCCTGTGTGGCAGGAAAGAACATACGCCGCTTTTTTGTTCAGAAGTCTTCATGCACAGGAAGGTAACACTTTGTTCAGCACGGTACAAACACACCCATCTGATTTTAAACCATTTTTAAACGGGTCATCAAGATGATACAAGATTTGACTCCGAGACAAGTCACACACACATGAGCAATAGGCTCCTACTGTACTAGTAGTCAGCTTCCACGTTTGCCTTCAAGTCTAGCTTAAACCTCACTTGCAGCATGTACTAGGACTTTATTACTTATAGAACAGGTTCCAGAGCCAAGGAATTCGTATCCTGGAGCTCACATGGCATGCTCTCACAAAAGAATCCGTAAGCATTAAGTAAGCTGGTACATTTAAGTATAAGTAAGAGATTTAACTACCTCGTTAGTGTTCCAGCGGTGCCTCTCTTTCGGTAAACTTGAACATTTTGGTAGACATTCAAGCAGCTTCTTCGGTAAAAAGATTTTTACATGACTGCCATTGCTGTTCCCATGATCATCTAGAAAGGAGAGGAGACACGTGATGTACACATGGGAGAACGGGTGGTTTCCACCAGGAGACAGGAGCGATGGAAACCCACCAGTTCCCTGTCCAAGAGCAGCAATCTGCAATGCCAACAAGACAAAAAATGTCTTTCTGATGAAACTGCTACTTTATTTCAGAAGTATAAATACAGTTTAATTCTTCATGGTTGCAAAGTTTGAGAAGAGCTTTGATGGATTTGGGCACAAGGAGCCTGTGTGTGCTTACCTGTGCCTATTTTAGGTCATTATTTCCCTCAGTGACAAATTTTACAAGCAATAGCGACAAAATGCTGTAGAAGCTGTGACCACAGCAGCACAACCTGCCAGGGAAGTCATAAATGAAGTTCACACTTGACAGGATTTGCAAGTAAATAAGCACAGAGCCCCAGTACCTGCTATAATTTTGTCAGGCAGCAGCAGAAATGCAACTCAAGGTCTATTAGTTCATTTAAAACTAGAACGCACAGTACCCAATCAAACCCAGGTTACTCCTCTTTTCATGCACAGCTCAGAAAGTGAATGTAGTTCCTCAACATGGAATTGAGAAAGAAGGCTGGAAATCTTCCTACCTCACCATACCTGAGGGTCTCAAAAGCAGAAACACTGAAGAATACAAAACTATTCTTTTTTATTGTTGAATATGTAGAAGGCGCATAAATTCCCCTCAAAAAATCATGTCCAAAAACCCCTGCACTCCCACATCAGCCCACAGCAGTCCCAGCAGCAGCACCTTGATGATGTCTATCAATCCTCTAACACCACCGAGAGACTCAGAGCATCCATGAGCTGCACGTGTTTATCAACCAAATCAGTCCCCACAGAAAAGGGAATTGGAGCAGTAGGGTAAGAGAGACCAGTCACAATGCAGAGCTTTACCAGTTCTCCCTCCAACCACACCATCTCTGCCTTCTTCCACCATCCTCTCACTTCCCATGACAGATCCTGGGCACACAAGCAGTACACTTACTCTGGCATTTTACCCTACAAAATTAATTTATAGTCATTTCCCATTTTGAAGTGTACAGAAAAAGGATATTAACTTCTTCCTTTTACACATCTAATCATTTTATGTCATTAAACAGATGCCAGCAATATGATAAAACTCCTCTGCAATTTCGTACAACACAGACATTCCCTGTGACCTGCAGCGAACCCAACAGAGCCTGGCCCACGAGCATTCTTAGAAATGATTTAGGAATTGTAGAGACCTCACACCAGCAGCCAGACATCCCTGGTATTCTTAAAGCTTGATTAGACTCTTGGATGTGTCAAGTTCAACAATATACATGCTGTTAAATCAACTGCTCGTGCAAGCCCAGCAGATGAGTTTACAAGATAAGCAGCGATGTGTATGATAAACGTGAGCTGCTCTGTAATTTATGAGTCCTGCGCACTCCCTGAGTTATTGGGAACTTTACTGTGCGACTGTGTTGGACTAAATCAACAGAGCTGCCACTTCCCAACTTCTTCCTGGGCAAGGAGCAGTCAAGCAGGATCGATCTCTGCTGGACCGATAAAGAAATGGGCGAGAGGGTGCTCTCCATTACTGCTCTGTACACCATTCCAGGATTTCTAGCTGGACACTGAGTATCTCAGACCGATATTCTACAGGGCTTTTTGGCCACATCCTTTCCCCAGCCCAGGCTCTGCACATGTGACTGTCATCACTGCTACTTCCCCCCACCCAAGCCACTCAAAGCCTCACAGACACCCATGTCGTGACACCTGGGCTTATTCACAAAGACACAACTTGCCTGGGGCAAAGACCAGAGCCAGGCAGCCCTGCCAGCAGCTCTCAGCCATTCCCACCTGCATTTCCAGATCCACAGCCCGATGCAGCTGGTACTCACTTCACGCTCCCTGCTTTCATTTTACACCATTTCCATTCCTCATTCAAAACACTGCATTGCTCTACATTCAATTCATTAAGGCACAAAGTATTTTACAGCACACATTATTGCTTTTATCAGTCAAACTACATCCCAGTTACATCTCATCAGCTTATTTTCCATGGACACATTTTAATTGACATTAATTGTATTACTTCCCCTTACCTCCGTATCAGTCAAGTCCTCTATCATTCATTCCGTTATTTTGCAGGGCTGGCAGACCTCTAATTATTCAGCTCATTTTATTAACTTTCTTCCATTGTCATCAATTATCAGTATTATTAATCCAGAAAGCGCCTATGGATAATAGATCCCTTTAAAACGTTTTGGTAGAACTTGTCAGAACTTGCTGATGCTAAACCTTCCAACTCCTGTTGTTAGCATCTCCCACCTTGTGTTATTACAGCAAGGGAAGGTCATTCTCATCATCCTGTAATGCGACTACATCTCACAGATGCCTCCCTCTTCTGCGTTTAGCAATGACATTTCTTCATTCCAAAAAATCCCCAATGTGGAAAACAACAACTGCCACCTGCCTCGATCCAACAATCTTTTCATTAGGGACTCCTCGAGCCACACAGTCAGAACAACACAAAACAATCACGTTATGGGATGTGAATCCTAAATTCAGTGACCTCTAAACCAGGTTTGACCTTGGAAAAGGACAAAGTCAGCCAACCAGCTATGAGGGTGAAAAACTCATCACCTCAAACGATGCACACACATTTGCCTTCACTCTCACTTCTCTGCCCACTAAATCTCTCAGAATGTATTCCCACAGGGAGGAAAGTCCCTGGAAACCCAGGCACAGAAGAGGATTGCTCTTCCAGTGGCACTGTGGATACTGGTGGACCAAGAGTTCCCACTCCTCTGAATGAACCAGCGCTTCCCTGCTCCTGTTCCTCACAAATAACACTGTGATACTTCCAATGAAACACGCACATCTCTAGGGAGGTGGAGCAAAAAAACCCCCATGCTATCCTTTGGCTTGAATCAAATCTGCCATTCCTAGTCCAGCTGACACACTCACCCACCACCACAGGGGCTCCTGGTGAAGGCAGAGGAACAAGAGCCCACTTGGATGTAGCTCTGCATCCCCGTGCTCCCGGCAGCGTGGACAGCACACCCACAGGCAAACTCCTCCATTTGTCCCAAACTAAAATTTCCTCAGTAGCTAAAAACAGGAGCTGCAACCTCACAGCGCTGATTTGGTTTTACTGTGCAAATCCAGACTTGTACTTGAACTTTCTCCTCATTTATTTTTGCCATGGGTGCGACTCACAACACCGAGGTCTGCAAACCCATCCAGTGTCAATAAGAAGTGCCTGTGCAAGCAGAGCTGCACTGACACGGGGAGGATTTGCCAGTAAACCTCTATCGACACAGGGGTTTTTAGTGCAGAGCTGGCCACAGCTCAAAAATGTTTCCCAAGGCAGGCACAGCCACAGCCGAGAACTCCAGTAAGAAGCTACAGACTAAAATATAGCAGCCTACACCATGTCCTGTTATATATCACTCAGGATGAAAATCCAAAATTTAAGTTCCATTAGCAATCTTCAAGTTTATTTATTAGCAAACAAGAAACTCATGTAGAATTAAGAAAGTACAAGTATTACAAAGTTCATGGAAAGTTCCGTATTAATTATACCACATAAACCCTTTGTCACTTTATGGGTTTCTTCATGCTTCTTGCACTTTATCCTCCCAAGGGATGCACCATGGACCATAAAACTTTAAAGTGCACAACAGCAAATCACACAGAGAGTCTGTGCTCTACCCCCGCTCTCCAAACAATCCCCCTCATCCCCCCCCTTTTTCTTTCTTTAACTGGTTCTTAAATCTTTGGTGATCCAGGAGGTGAATTTAGACCTGCAGCCCCTTTAACTACCATAGTTTGTCAATATAACATGTAATTGGAGAATACAGAAATGGCCAAAAGGGTGTTGATCAGCTGCTGATCCGCAGACAGGTCTATAGTAGAAATAAATATCACGAGTAAGCTATAAACTCACAAACACAAGTTTTATAAACCCATTATTATGAAGTAATAACTTAGGGTTGGCCATCTTCTTAACTACCTCACAAGAAAGGGAAGAGGTGTTTAAACATTACAAACGGGCTCTTTAGTACAAAACAAACCGCTGAAATCCCAATGTCATCCTGGGCTGGCATCCAGCTGATCCCCCCCACAGACCGAGTGCTGAGGCAGCAGCTGTGCCCCTGCAGCACACGGGTGACACCACAACACATGCACCCACACTGACACCCTACGTGGGGGCCACCAGAGTCACCTGGACACTTGCTGACCTCTGAACAGGGAAAAGAACAACAAATTCCATCTGGAAGGAATAAATCCCAGATCCAAACATCTGCAGGACTGCCACGCTATTTCTCATGGCTCAACTTCGATCCTGGCATTTTCCACCCATAAACAAGCAGCAACAGAAGCAAACCCAACAGCTTTTGGTCTGCTTCCTAGCAATATTTGGACAATTACAGTTGTAAATCTCTTGGCAACAAAAGTAGATTTCTAAATATCAATTAAGGGTGCTAAGAGAAGATAACCAGGTCCGGCTCTGCAGCTCTCAGCAGGGCTCCACAGGATGCCAGCACTCAGTCAGGCGCTGGCTGAGCAAAGGTGTTCCCGGTCCTCCAGCACGGGATGCAGCCCAGGGCTGAGGGGAGGATGCAAGGAAAGGGTAAACAGTTCAGGCAAAGGTAAAACACATACAACAGGAGTGAGAGGCCAACACAAACCAGCACATGTACGGCTGTGGCTGCGTCTGCGGGGAATACGTGAGGAACAAGAAAAAACAAAAAGCACAAGGAAGGAATCACGGGAATGGTGGCAGTGTCAAGGATGAGCAACAAAACGGTTTTCCTCTAGGAAGGTACTGAATCTAGCTTTAATATCTTGGAATACTTGTGACAAATACTTTGTTGCTATGACGAGCTCTACAAACACTTTGAAAACCATAAGAAACAGAAATATAGCTAAAACCACTGCTATGCATCAGTGGCCCAGTTCTCCCCACCAGTGACAGGCTACTCCCAAGTTCCTTTGTCCTTTTCACATAGCAGAAGTT